TATATATATATATATTGTCACATGAAGAGGAATATACACCACTCATAAACAAGTTTCCTATTTGATAGGCCAGCCAATTACAGAAGTATATGAAATATTGTATGGCCAGTAGCTGCTCTTGGTAAACTGGATTTTGCAATAATCCACTATCATACGTGGCGACTCTGGATTGGTTGTAAGTAGAAGAAAATTGCAATGGTTAGATTTTTTTTAAAAATAAATTAAAAACACATTGTTTTTAGTGGTGTTGAACTTTGCCAAATGGACATGAACCAAGTTAAAAAACTGTTATCCGCCAATGAAAAAAGAGATAGTGATATTCTAGGATAAGGACTTTGGTCCTTCCAAGTCATTTAAATACTGTTGGTGCAAGGCTCATGAAACTCAAGCAACAAATTAATTCAATTCTTCTTGTGTAGTAGCTCCATTCAAGAGTTTTTTCATCTTACTTCTATAATGGCAGCTTCTACAATTGCTCTCTCTTCTCCTTCTTTTGCCGGAAAAACAGTGAAACTCTCACCATCTTCTTATGAAATTACTGGAAATGGGAGAGTCACTATGAGGAAGACCACTACCAAGGCCAAGCCTGCCTCATCTGGTAGCCCATGGTATGGTCCTGACCGTGTCAAGTACTTGGGACCATTCTCTGGTGAGGCCCCAAGCTACTTGACCGGTGAGTTCCCTGGTGACTATGGATGGGACACTGCTGGACTTTCAGCTGATCCAGAAACTTTTGCCAAGAATCGTGAGTTGGAGGTGATCCACTGCAGATGGGCCATGCTTGGAGCTCTTGGTTGTGTCTTCCCCGAGCTCTTGGCCCGTAATGGTGTCAAGTTTGGTGAGGCTGTATGGTTCAAGGCTGGATCCCAAATTTTTAGTGAGGGTGGACTTGACTACTTGGGCAACCCTAGTTTGGTTCATGCACAAAGCATTTTGGCCATTTGGGCTTGCCAAGTTGTGTTGATGGGAGCTGTTGAGGGTTACCGTATTGCTGGTGGGCCTCTTGGTGAGGTTGTCGACCCACTTTACCCTGGTGGTAGCTTCGACCCATTAGGCCTTGCTGATGACCCCGAGGCTTTTGCTGAGCTCAAGGTAAAAGAGATCAAGAATGGTAGACTTGCTATGTTCTCCATGTTTGGATTCTTCGTTCAAGCTATTGTCACAGGAAAGGGTCCATTGGAGAACCTTGCTGACCACCTTGCTGATCCAGTTAACAACAACGCCTGGGCCTTTGCTACAAACTTTGTCCCCGGAAAGTGAAGTTTTTTAAAATGAGTCTCTTCCATTAGTTGTTTGTTTGATGGCCTTGTAAAGCTATTGTAAATTACAAGAACATAATATATATATGAGTATTGTTTGTCCTCCAATCATTTGATAAAAGGTAAAACGTGACATTCTATTTGAGACATGCTAAAAAAACGTGCACAACATAAATTGGACAGATGGAGTAGCACCATTTCGCTTTTGGCTTACTCCGACTTGAAAGTTGTTTTGCTTTAATTAATTCTTTCACTGTTTTATCCTTTATAATTGTTTATATTCCTCATAAATTAAATTTCAGCACTTGAAATTCAGCCTATCCAAACGGGCTCTTATACAAGAACATTACATTTAACTTTAAACAATCTAACTTTCGAAGATATGAAGAAAATGTTATATTAGAATCTACTAATTTAAATTCTCTATTTCTAAGAAAGAAAAAAATGTATTGGATTTAAATCTTTTCGCGTATCAAAAAACTAGTAATGAAACTTTTTCGGAGAAACTATCAAATTATGCAAACATTTCTACCATATTTACTAATTCTCCTTATAGTTTGAAATACTTACATTTTATTTCACTATTCTATAATTTCATACCGAATTTCAAGTCAGTTAAATGTGAGTCACACTAAATATACATCTAATATGATTCACATGTATCTGAGATACCAGATGCGCAAGCGAGATGAGAGGGAGGCGAGCGAGATTCGTCTATGTATCCCTAATACATGCGAATCACAATAGATAAACACCATATACATGTATCTGGTATGATTCAATGTATCTAGGATACCAAACACGAGCGAGATGGGAGGGAGGCGAGAGAGATTTGTCTATGTATCTTAGATACATGCGAATCAATAATTTGGATAAAGTATAGCTATAACAAATTAAACCTAACTTTGACCTTATGTATCCCAAGATACTTGCACATCAAAATATGATAAGATTTGTTATATTGTAAACTAGCATGTATCTAAATAATTATAGCTCGATCATATATAAACTAGTGGAATTTCCATCAATTAACAAAACAAAAAGAAAAAGAGTACCGCGCACACACACATCATAGAATATGCACATATTTTGATACTTAAGCTTAAGCCCAATTGTGAAATTACACTGATATGTTATTGTTGTTTGGCCCAATTGTATATTAGGGTTAAAAAAGGAAATTAATCCTTTCCCTCTCTTATATTTACTAGGAAGAAAGAAAAGGGGTGACTTTTCGTTCAAGTCTCATATTCATTTCTCACCATGCTCGCTTCACTCTTCAAACTCTCTCGACCAATACTCCTCAATAATTCTTCAAAAATGTTTGTTCGTCCCAAATCTGATCGAAGAATGCTATACCAACAGCTCAAAAACTCATCAGTTACTGTTATTGTGGAAACATCAAGGTATTATTTTTTTTCTTCAAGTAACTGAGTTACTAATTCTCTTATTTTATGTATTTTTTTGGTTTAAATCTACAGTGAAGTAAGGTTTATTGGCACGGGTGCTGTTTGGGATTCAAGTCACATTGTGACATGTCACCATCTCCTCCTCGACAATCCAAAGAGTATTTTCGTTAGTGACATGAAGGATGTCTCTCAGATAGATGGAAGAATATTTACTGCTATTCTAGTGGATGCTTTCCCGGACATTGATATAGCTCTTCTTAAGCTAGTTGACAATGAGAAAATTCATATTAATCCTGTTATTCGAGCAGATGTACAAGAGGTTTTTGTTGGTGATGAGGTTTTTGCTATTGGTAGCGTGTTAGGAGGAAAACTACCAAAATCTTATTTAGACGGGTAATTTCTGGAGTTGATAGGAATGCGGAAACTGAGATGATTCCTGGGGTTTTGCAAACAACTGTTGCGTCAATGGAGGGGTGTAGTGGTTCACCGATTCGGGCTATTGCGTTGGAATATGCTTTGGTGCAATATGCCCATCAGTTGCATTTGCAATTCCCATAAATATGGTAAGTTGTTGACCGAAGTAATTATTGTGGCTTATATATGTGATGTATCTATTTTCATATAGTGTGTTTTGTTTTGGATTTGCAGGTACATGATGCAATAGCAAAAGTAAGTTCAATTTAACAAATATTGTTAAGTAGTTTGATTGTAAATCAATCTCTGATATCTTCAATCTAATGTTCGATATGAATTTAATTTGGACATTAATTTTGGTTCGTGACACTTAAACATGCCGCGACTTTTCTGTTATTCTCTTCCAATTATGAGCTTATGTTTTCTCTGTTTTTTGGTTCACAAGCATCTGTACTTCACCTTATTATGCTTGAAACTTGAGTATGATTTGTAGTTTATGTAGTTTCAGTTTTCATCTCGTAACTTGAGTTCTGTTTCTAAATGTGGTTAATTGGTTTATAGTATGCTATTATTATTATTATTGTTTAATTGACTCATTGCTTTTCACCTGCAAGTTTTCTTCATAGTAACTGATAAATATGTTGCTTCTTTGTTCTATGCAGATCTAGTATTGAAACATAGTTCCTTAGAAAAGTATTGAAAGGTATTTGAACTTTTTTCTGTTCATTCTGGTTCTGCTCCATTCTTAAATTTTTAGTAGTGTGAAAAGTGCTTCTTGCCCTTTATCAGATATCCTCGCATAGTGGGAGCTTAGGTCATCGTAAAAGTGCTAATGGTAAAAAGCATCATTATGAGAAAATCAGTTAGCTTTTAGGAGAGTAAGGAAGAAGGCGTTAGAATGTAATGTGGTAGTAATGCAGAAATAATGACACTTGGTCGCTGGAGTAACTTTCGGCTCTTTAATTATTCATTGTAGCATGTTGCATTTGGTACATACTGAGTTTGTGAACTAAACTTTACAATCAATTAAGATTTCTTCGACAATACTTTTCTCTAAATGCGGTAAAAGGTTATAATGATCTAGGTGAAAATAATTGGGAGCCACTTGAGAACTTGAAGTGGTGTTGAATAATATTTCATCTTGTATCTATGCTTTGCTGATCACTTATGACTTTTGTGTGAGCTTCAAACTTTGCAAAGGAGGCAAAGAACTCGAGATTTGCTTAGAGTTGGTAACCCAAAAAAGTGTCTATAAAAGATAAATGGCTTCAACACTATTTATGTGGAAATGGTTTTAGTTTTGACATTGTCTTTCTGGGTTGATCTTTTTGTTGAAACACTTCTTAGAGTCAAATCCATTATTTAGTTAAAACCTTCATCTTTTTAGGACCATAAGTAGCTCTTCAGCCACATTGCATGAATGTATTCAGCATATACCATTTTGAGTATCTGAGAATTTCTTGATATCCCTTTTTGTACTGTGGACTACCCAACACTGCATTTGCTCTCAAGTGGCTAAAGTAGGAGGAGTAATCTGTGACCACCACAGTACAAAAGGGGATATTTAACTATCTTCAATTTCCTTGTAGCTAAAGGTATGCCTAAGTACCTGAACAGAAGAGCTATGTTGCATGTGGGATCCTCCAAAAGTAGTGTATTTTTGGAGGATCTAACACGGGTGAGGCAGTATTTTAGGAGAGTCTGAGCAACATAGTGGAAGAGTGCCTTAGCTATAGCCTCGTAGTTGTTGAATCTCAGATTTGACAGTATCAGGGATATCACCATAGTGAACTTCACTTCTGGACATGTTAGTTAGCTTGCAGGCCAGAAGCTGCTGATTGAAAACATTTGAAATTTCTCTAGAACATAAAAGCAAATCATCTGTAAAACATAGATGAGTGATGCAAAGTTGGCCTATATTTTTGTTGTTTCTGCATTAGTTTACCATCTAATTTACAATAAATCCAACCTTCTTTGTTGTGCTCTCCAGTAAGATCAAATTTGCCTTTAATATATAGTTTTATCGTTGTCTTGAATTGGTATTGAAGCTGCTTTTCCTGCTGCTATTGGATGCATTAAATTAACACCATTTTTGCTGCTCTTTTGTGAAAGAATTTTGGCTGCTGTGATATTATAGGTTAGCTTACATGCTTACTATTACTGATAACTCATTCTCTTTTTAGTTCATAAACGCATCAATGCCCATTTCAACTTGAATGTTGAGATGTAAAAGAATACACACCTTAACTTAGAGAGACTATTAGTCGTTGTTTGGTACATTAGATAAGGATAATAATCCCGGTTTGAGGTATTAGCTAATCTTAGGATTGTTGTTTGTTCTGTTTGATATATGTGCACTACTATTTGATCACCAATTCATAATTTTGCAGGTGTTTTTGGTGAAAACATGCTCAGATGAAAGCTTTGGATCTATATATAGTTTATATATAAGTATAAGTAGAGTATGTCAAGACTATGTAAATGTTCCACTTCTGCATCCAATAGTATATGATATTCCCATGGATGTATAAAGAATACGTTTGACAACTTCACTGCATCCAGTATCTTGATAGTATAGCAAAATTATGCAATGCAACAATTAGTATATGATGATGATGATGTTGTTTATATCCGATTTGACAGTTGCTTACATACTTTCACAATATTGAGATCAAACACATATTCATAAGAGATTTAGCTCATATTTGTAGAGATCGATACTTGTTTGCAAGAGATTAATATCATAAACGTGAGGTAAATCATCTGTAAATAGGTATACCAGAGTAGATCAATCCATAAATAACAACACATTGAATCACCCTAGCAATTAACTGTAATATGTTCACATAATTTACGATACACCAAACAGTCATAGAGCTAATTTAACATTCATGAGAATCCAACAGACACTACATACACATATAACCCTGATTTTCATTCGAGTTCCTTGCACGAAAGACTTTTAAGTTCATCAACTAGTAAATCAAGCATCAACTGCATTCTTTGAATGGTCACTGAAGCTTGTCTTCTTCGCTTCATAATCCTTCAGAGCAGCCGTAATTGCATCGTCAGCAAGCATCCTGCCATACTGCAATCGAACAGGTGGACGATGGAAAAATGGTTTCCTATCTCCCTGTAGTAAAGTCAGATATGTTAAACACTACATCACAATTCAGAAATATGCAACCCTACCCGTTAATCTTTAAGCATGCTGCACAGGCATCAACAGCAAAAGACAAGGCCAAAGATATATAGCATAATATACATAGATTGTCAGACACCTTAACTTGGCCTAAACTAGCAACTAATCACTCCGATTCTGAGAATGCACATCTAGACACCTCAACTCTTCCTCATTGTGTCTCGTGAACACCCGACATTTTTGAAGAGTCTGAGCAACATAGGTCCCTCAGGTAAGAACAAACAGAGCAGGACCACTACCACTGATTCGTGGATCATTCGCTAAAATTTGGGTAAGGAGGGATAGTAAAAGTTGTATCCGAAACAAATAACTAAGAAAAACCAACCGTCCAAGACTACCTGCTAATCTTCAAGCGTGTTGCATAGGCAGCGGCAGAAAAAGAGAAAGCCAAAGGCCAGTATACTTGACATAATCTACATAAAGAATATATATGGCATAATACATTGATACATTAACTTGGCCTAAACTGACACCTAAACATTCTAACTTTAAGAATGCACATATAGACACCTAAATTTTGAATACCAATAGATCTGTTCTTATAACCTATCTAATCAATGTTTCCCCACAGATGTTCAGTGTGTGTCAAATACTTTTGGAGGAATCGACACACACCGACATTTTTGAAGCGTCCCAGTAACATAGTGACACCCTAAGGTAAGAACAACAGAGCAGGACCACTACCACTGATTTGTGGATCATTCACTAAAATTTGGGCAAGGACGAAAAGTAAAAGTTGTATCTTGAAATGGAACTGGAAATCTGAAACGAATAACTTAGAAAATCAACTGTTCAATAACTTAAAAACCAAGGTCATCTTAGTAAAGCAAGAACTCGGACAGTACGGGAAAACTAAATCCAAAACCACCTATGAACCAAAAAAACAAAAAACAAAAAAAAGGTTCAAAGAGTTGATGTATTGTTTATGGATAGTGCTTCTTCCATATGTTCCCCTTCCCCCAATTCCAAAAAAGCAAAAGTTTAACTAAAAAATCATCACCCCACATCTTAAGTTAAAAACACACTAAACTTTAACTTAAACTATCTCAAACTTCGAGTGTTTCAGCCGATCCCCAATCTCCCAGTATCAATATTTCGGTTGCTCAAGCTGGTACAGGTACGCTACAATGGAGCAGCTTACTCCTGACATGGATTTACCGATTGAACTAGATTTCCCCACCCTTTTCACCTTTTTCTTTCTTAATTATGGAATTGAAGTTATACAAAAAAAAAATGATTTTTCAAGTTTCTTACCTGAACTAAACTATCACCAACTATTTATCAAACCACAACTCAAACTATTAATTGTTCAGATATGAAACTCAATAAATCGTGATACTTTTGATCATATAACAAACAACATGATAGGAAAATAGAGATTAGGATAAACAATTTGAAAAAGAGAACATACTCTAACGAAGTAGGAATAAGCAACATTAGTCTCTAAACCAACTATATTTACGATTTTCCCCGTCTTTTCATCCACTATCATCTTCGCATTAGGCTGATATGCGACAAGACTTATACAGGGAATACCACCCTTAAAATAATCTTCCATCCATTTCCTCATCTCATCATCGATTTTGATTTGAGGTTTCATCATATCCTCACAAACCGGAGCTCCGGCAACACCCTTACCAACATTCCGATGATCATTGTAGTGATATAGCTGCCGCCACCGCCACAGGTTCACCGGCGATACACCGGAAACTCGATTTCCGATTTGTTTCAACATCTTTTTGAGATTTTGCCCTAAAGTTTGATTACTTTTTTTTACGAATTTGGGCGATATCGCATGTCTCTCTATATGTATATTTCTTTTTTTCATATTTCTCAAAGGGTAAAAATGTAATTTTACTTATAATATATGTCAACGAAATATCTGGACGATCAAGAATAAAAATGTAATTTTCTTAATAATATCCTTTAATAAATAAAAATTGAGGGTAAATTTTGAAATTAACTAGTTAGGAATTATTTTAGTTCACTACTTTACACGCACATAGTGACGGATTCAGGATTTAAATTAAGGGGGTTCAGAAGAAAAAGAGTAGTGCCTAAGATTTAAACTTGAAACCTCAACGTGAGTTTTGAACCCCTCAACCACTAAGTCAAATTTTAATCTTACATCTAGGAGCTTCAAAATCAATATATAAACATAAAAAATCTTTAAAATACCTTATACAACATTATTTTTTGCCAAGGGGTTCATCGTCCTATACGTACATATCTTATACTAAATACTACCAAATAAATAATATCAAAACTAATACATTCTCCTAAATGACTCCCTCCAAAAAAAAATTCACTAGTTCATAATCATGATAATATAAGTTTAGTGCACCGACTTATCATTCTATGTTCTTTAACCTCCTTTACAAATTTACAATGAAGCATCCAAATTAAACCTTGAATTGTAGCATCCAATTATTAATCATGGGAACTTGGTCCAATTTTAAAAAATAAAAAATAGGAGTAGTAGTTCTTATTTTGTCACGTGAAGTGGTGTATAAACAGTCAAGTGGATTTTGCAATAATCCACTATCCATGTGGCAACTTCATATTGGCTATAAGAGAGGAAATTTTGCATTGGGTTGGATTTCATCTAGTCATATTTAGTGGTGTTGAACTTTGCCAAATGGGCAAGAATCAAGTTAAAGAAAATATATTATCCACCAATCAAAAATCAGATAATGATATTCTAGGATAAGGACTTTGGTCTTTCCAAGTCCTTTATATGCACTTGATGAGGCAAGGTTCATGAAACTCAAATAAACAAAATCAACTCTTCTTCTTGTGTAGTAGCTCCATTCAAAAGTTTTCTTCGTACTTTTATAATGGCAGCTTCTACAATGTCTCTCTCTTCTTCTTCTTTTGCCGGAAAGGCGGTAAAACTCTCACCATCTTCCTCTGAAATCACTGGAAATGGAAGAGTCACCATGAGGAAGACTGCTACCAAGGCAAAGCCCGCCTCCTCTGGCAGCCCATGGTACGGTCCTGACCGTGTCAAGTACTTGGGACCATTCTCTGGTGAAGCCCCAAGCTACTTGACTGGTGAGTTCCCTGGTGACTACGGATGGGACACTGCTGGACTTTCTGCTGATCCAGAAACCTTTGCCAAAAATCGTGAGTTGGAGGTGATCCACTGCAGATGGGCCATGCTTGGAGCTCTAGGTTGTGTCTTCCCAGAGCTCTTGGCCCGTAATGGTGTTAAATTTGGTGAAGCTGTATGATTCAAGGCTGGATCACAAATTTTCAGCGAGGGTGGACTCGACTACTTAGGCAACCCAAGCTTGGTCCATGCACAAAGCATCTTGGCTATTTGGGCTTGCCAAGTTGTGTTGATGGGAGCCGTTGAGGGTTACCGTATTGCTGGTGGGCCTCTTGGTGAGGTTGTTGACCCACTCTACCCCGGTGGTAGCTTTGACCCATTGGGCCTTGCTGAAGACCCAGAGGCTTTTGCTGAGCTCAAGGTAAAAGAGATCAAGAATGGTAGACTTGCTATGTTCTCCATGTTTGGTTTCTTCGTTCAAGCTATTGTCACCGGAAAGGGTCCATTGGAGAACCTTGTTGACCACCTTGCCGATCCAGTTAACAATAATGCCTGGGCCTTTGCCACAAACTTTGTCCCCGGAAAGTGAAGTTCTTAAAAAGAGTCTTTTGTATTAGTTGATCGTTTGTTGGCCTTGTAAAGCTATTGTAAATTACAAGAATATTATATATGAGTTTTGTTCATTCTCCAATTATTTTTTATTTCTAAGTTACATTTTCAATACTTATCCTATATAAAAAAAAAAAAATACAAGTTAAAAGTAGCAAAATGGGCTCCCAAGTTGCCAATTCACAAGTCTAGGGGAACAAGGAATGACTCAATGGGTTCCAAGACGGTGCAAATTGAAATTGGAATCCAACAAAAATTAGGCCAACGATTTTTCTTCCAAATCTTGTAAAATCCCATGTTTGAAAATAATAAGATAATTACACTTTTTCTACCATTCATCTTCTATTTTCTAGTTATTGAACATGTTAATTTATAAAGTGCACAAACATGAGCTTCAATTAGAAGAAGAGGGAATTCCTAAAATAGGAGTTATAACTTGCATAACATTAGAAAAATTTAATAATCTTTCTTTGTCTTTTATAAAGTCAAATCTCTCTATAACATTTTTTTCTAAAGGAAGATCTGTTAATAAGGACGAAAAATTCAAACAACATTATTAAAAAACTTTACGCTTTTAATATAGTATATATAATATAGTTAAATAATTCTCCCTCTCAATTTATGTTGCCGTGTTTGACGTGCACAAATCTTCAGATTTATTAATTTTCTTTTTAACTTATGATCTAAAATAAACCGTAGTTATGTATCCATAAATCATATCATTAAAACAAAATAAAAAATATATATATAAACATAATATTTGGGCCAGTCGGGTTGATGTATTTGGGCCTTTATTCAAACTAAAGACCCAACTTCATTTAACCTGAACTTTTCACTACAGATTTCACAGATGCAAATTTGAAATTCCGATGGATTTTGTGCTGAATTCCGTTTGATTTTTTCGCCGGCCGATTTCAAAAGACAGCAGGTTAGCTACAGATTCAGCTCTTTGTCTCGTCGAAGTAAATTTCTGTTTCATTGATTTTATGGGTATCAATTTTCTGATTGGGTTTTCAATTTTTTTTATTTTTTTTTGGTCCAAAATTTCAATTTTATGAATTGGGTTTGCAAAATTTTGATTTTGTTCCCACTGTATAAAGAAAAGTTTCAATTTTTCTGAATTGGGTTTGTAAAATTTTGTTTTTGTTCCCACCGTATAAAGAGATGGTTCAAATTTCATTTTTTTCTGAATTGGGTTTGCAAATTTTTTCATTTAGTTGCGATGTGTTAAGTTGATAATGGCTTCAAGCTATGATGGTTGTGCTGATCTGCCTTTTAGTATTACTGAATACTGATTAGATAATGGCTTCAAGCTATGATGGTTGTGAAGTTATTAAGCTTCCCAAAAATCCGACCACGAGCACAACAATAGTTGTGATGGACTTAGCAATTGGCATAAGCTAAAATAAAATGAAAAAAAGAGTTGTATACAGTGTTACTAATAGTAGATGTTGAAGAAGCCTTATAAGAGTATACGAAGGCAAAGAGAGAAGACAAGAAGGCATGGCTTTGAGTTGCCCAGTACTTGTGCTGATGGGAGGTAGTAGGTATCTAGTGGAATTAGCGGAGGTGCACATAAGTTGGCCCGAACACCACCATCATAAAAAAAAAAGGAGCTACTAATTTTAAAGAATTAATTTCCTTAAAGGCAAATTATTGAAAAATATGTGAATTAAATTAGTCTAATATAGCATAATGGATAACGAGGATTCATATTGCCGATCCCTAGTGTCTTTTTTTAGTTTTTATTTGAAGGAATAGCTTATTGATTGATATGAAATGTTCACGACAAGTATTCTAGATTTGGGATGAATAGTTTGAAGTCATATACCAAATCCTTCTATCGATACTGTGGATTTTAATTTTAGACCTTTCAAATAAGTTGATCAGTAATAACCATAAAATCCTAATCTCTACTCCAACAGACATTTGAGTTAATGTTATTATGTAAAGTGACTTTGATAGTTATTATATCCTGTAACTAATAGTTGTATAGTCTATCAAGGCAGTTAACCATAGAGACTGTTCTGCGTTATGCATAACTATTCAAGCTTTTCATTTAGGCTTTGCAAACAAAACATATCTAATCAATACTCATCTTGTATAATCGGTATTTGAATTTCCATTTGAAGCATCCCTCAGGTTAATGAAATGAATATCATTTAGCTTTATAAGCTTTTGCTTTGGAACTTATGCTGATTGATTGAAATGTAATTCAGGATCTCTGTCTTCAGCTGAGGTGCAGAGCTTCTTGTAATGGAGAAGGGGGATTTTTGCATCTCCACTATGGCATCATCAAATATCGCAGTTCTATTAACTATTGGTGTCATCACTGTACTTGTGATACGAATGATTTATGTTATTAATAGGAGCAGAAAGCCGCTTCACTCCAAATCACCACGATCCCTCAGTACTCTTATTGTTTTGGGTTCAGGTCTAGTTTTATGTCTGATAGTTTTTCTTCTGTTTTACTGCCTTTTGCTTTTCATTGCTCTAAATATTTTAAGTTCAACTATAATGTAGGTGGTCACACAGCTGAAATGTTAAACTTATTATATGTCCTTCAAACAGAGAGGTTTAAGCCGAGATATTATATTGCTGCTGCTACTGATAATATGAGTCTCCAAAAAGCACATGTGTTTGAGGATTCCTTGCTCGGTAAGGTATAGTACATCAGTTTAATTTATTTGTCGGTTTTTCTTTCCCCCTTTTTATCAGACAACAATATGTCAAAAAACGACGACTGGAATGGTGTGTGGTGTCTTGTGTCTATGAACCAAGAGAGGATAACATTTTTGCATTAGGCTGTTAACACATTATTCTTGTGACTTTTCTCAATTCCTTTATCAGTTTTGAATTAGGCTTCTAAGTTTTCTTTTGGATTTTAACACCTCGTTCACTGTGTCCAAATATTTGATTGCCTTAGTTGTTAAGTGACTAATATAGCCATCAGTCACCCAGCTTCATCATTGTTCCCAGTTGCTTGCTCATGCAGTTCAATGTTAGACTTCACTTTTTGTACCGGTAGAGGTGTTAAAGTGCCAAACCATGTATGTTCAACATCAAGCGGCAATTCTTAGGAAGTTTGGCTTGAATACCATCGTAGCCTAAAGATCTCTCCAAATCAAAATGTGTTGCTTCTTGTAGAGCCTAATCTTAGAACTCATAGACTGGCAGTCCTTATCTTTTACAAATATATCAAAAACAAAGATTCATAGAAGGTCCAAACACCGATTTGTGCATCCAGTATGGTAAATCACATGATTTCTCATATGATCAAAAGAATTTTAGAAAATCAAATTATGTATCGCAATGCATCAAACAATTGGTATACCAAATCCTTTTACTTATTATTTGCAGTAAGAGATGAAAAATGTTTGTGCAAATGTGTTCCATGTATATATGTAACATTTAGCTATAATTGTCTGCATACAAGTATGTGTGCCTTGCTTTTCGCCTATGGGATAAAACCATAGTCTGTATGTTCTTTCAGATTGTCTATCTTAGGTTTGGAGGGGTGTTCATTCTCTTCTAGTTGTTTAGAGTATTTGAAATACATATGCTACACCACAGAAGCCTCCTCTTCTCCCGGAACTGATCATGATATTCTATTCTTAATTGGCTATATTAATAGGACTACCTCTTATTCTAGGAAGCGCCCGAGGAAGTAGGGGGAGCTGAATTCATGCAGATATATCGAAGTCGAGAGGTTGGCCAATCGTATATAACCTCAGTTGGAACCACATTGGTTGCAATTGCACATGCGTTGTGGTTAATGATCAAGATCAGACCCCAAGTGGTATCAGACAAACCTCTCATATTACATTTTACTCCCCTCCCCTTTGAAATTGAAATCATCAATCTGCAGATACTTTTTCCTTTATATATCCTGGTCTTCTGATTTATCTATATTTGGTACTTTGTCTCAGATTCTGTGCAATGGCCCTGGAACGTGTATTCCACTATGTGTAATTGCCTTCCTTTTCAAGGTTTGTTTATTAGAGAGTGATCTTTTGTTCTTTCAACTTACTTGTATAGTCAAGTTGGATGCTAGAATACTGATTACATGCAGAATATCTTTTAACATCCCGATTTAGAAAAAAATGGATCAGACTACGTTGATCTTAAGGGTCATGTCCATTCCTGTATTTTCAACTATGTTTCTTGGACTCTTAAAAATGTCGACAACTGCATGTCGGATCCTCCAAAAGTAGTGTATTTCGGAGTATTCGGCTGAGGTGATGCCACATTTTTGGAGTGTCCTAGCCACATAGATTTCAAAGTGTATAGGACGACAACAACTTGGATCATTTTGTCTTTTCCTTGTCGGTTCATAAATTTTTGCCTCGACTTATCATGGCATGATATTGTTGAGAACTCTTATCCTCTAATATTCCTTGAGCTTATTTGGTTTCATGGCCTCTCCAAGCTTATTTGGCACCATCCCTTTAAAAAAAATATGAACAAACCTCACAAAAGGAGGAAGAAGACAGTCAATGAATCAAAAGAGAGCACTTGACTCCTCACAGAGTCACATTGATATCGAACTTGCAAACGTTTTTAGTTTCTTATGATCCTTCAAGGTGACATTTGAGGTGCTAATTGAAAGTTCAATTGCTTCAGGTTTTGGGAATTAGGTGGTCATCGATTTTCTATGTCGAGAGCATTGCAAGAGTCAGGAAGCTGTCTTTAAGCGGTTTGCTTCTTTACAAGCTACACATGGCAGATCAGTTATTCGTGCAATGGCCACAACTAAAAGAGAAGTATCCGCGAGCTCATTATGTTGGTCGTCTTATGTAATCTATCAGTTTCTGATCTATTATAGTGAGGTACGTAGTACTCGAGCTCTGTTGATGCGTTTGAAGAGTTCTACAAATGGATGTAAAGGGTCTTCGTTTGAAAGAGAATATCATTGTTATCTTCTTGAGGCAAGGAAAATTTTTAATGATCATTTCGAAGTGATTGGCATGATTGTTGTTGTTTTTGTATCATATAGGTAACTTGTTAAGTTAAAGATTCCAGAGAGAATTAACAAATACAAGTGTATTTACGTTCCACTTTTCCAAAGTTTTATACATGAGCAAACCTTTTGACATATTTTAATATGAATTTAGACTGGAAGCTCATTACTAGTTGTTGTTGTTGCTAGATGAAACATTCATGGCAATCAACTTAGTAGCAAAGTTGTCTCCATGTGACTGGTAGGTCACGGGTTTGAGCTGTGGAATCCTCCGTTGATACCTGTGTCTAGGGGTGTTCACGGTTTGGTTTGGGTCGGTTATTGGTCAAAACCAAAACCAAACCAATTTAATCGGTTTTAAAATTATCTAAACCAAACCAAATCAAATATAATATACATTTATCAGTTTGGTTGTTTTCGGTTTTGGTTTGGTTTGGTTATTCGGTTATTAACCATACATAAAAATAAAATAAACAATTCATTCAAAACGTGAAAAAAGTGACAACAATCCGTTCAAACAAAAAAATAGTTAGAATGACTGGCATTACATAACTTTCGATCATTGAATTTACTGAATAAAACTTCAAAATTCACTATTTTGGCATAGAAGGAAGAGACAATGACATTTTTAGTCCCACAAAGAATTTTCATAGATACTCATATACATGAAACCAATAAGAAAAATGTTCTCACCTTGGACATTTTTTCTTTCATAAGTAAATTATAAATAAATTTTGATGAAACATATATAAAATCTTTAAAATTGTTTATGAATATAATATATTATGTATGTATAATAATAAAATTTATGTATATAACTTGTTGGTTCGGTTCGGTTATTTCTTCGATTTTTTTCGAACAAAACCATAACCAAACCAAATACTATCGGTTCTTAACAATCTAAAACCAAACCAAACCAAAACCCCCTGTGTTATGTTAGACGGCCCCCCCCCCCCCCCCCCCCCCCGGAGGTATGTGGCCCTTGCTTCCAATTTCTAGCTGTAGAATCAAACGTTGATACTTGTGTCAGGATAAGCTGTCTACAGCACACCCCTCTGGATGCGATCCTTCATGAGACTCTGCCTGAACACAAGATACTTCACGCACCAGACTTTTCTCAGCCTTATTTTCCAAACCATCAAGGTAATGCTGATACATATATGACAAGAAATTCCACATAGCCAAAAACATAGAGATCACTTTAACACCACTCATCTTCTCATGAAGAAACAAAATAGAGAAAACAGGTGCCCCAAGAATGCCAATCACATTGGAGAACAATGAAGACACCTTGAAAATCAATCCAGTTGAACCAACTGTGAAAAATTGCCAAGAAATTGCTGTCCCAATCAACGTCATAACATATGATTTCTTCCCAAGTCCAAAATTATTCATCTCTTGCCTCAAATTCCTCCACTCTCCACTTGCAGAAATCACCACCAAATTCGCGAAGGACGCCACTAAGGACTCATAAATTGTCATTTCTATGATCAATCGCAAACTTTCCCTCTTAAATATTTTCTCAAACGATGGCCTCGTGACGGAAAACATGAGTCCATAACCAGCAAATGCAGCAAGTGTACATAAAAAACCAGTAATGTACTTTCTTTTAGAGTACTTGTTACTATTACTTGAGTCATTTTTTTGAAACAAAAGGAGTGAAGGAGATATTGTGAGAAGTACTAAAGAGTTCACTATAAAAGGGGTGAGTTTTTGTTTGTTCAAAAAGAATGAAAAAAAAAGCATTAAATCCTAATTGACTAGTACATATAAGTGTATAAGTTGTAATAGGAAGATAAAATTGACCTATAGAATAAAGCATACAATTTCCACCTAAAAAAAACCAAGTGAGATATAAAGAGGAACAAGAACCAAGAAAGATGCTTTTTTTATATCTATATTATTGGTTTTGGTTGATGATAATAAGAGAAAAGGGATGAGAATTGGGAATCCAATATTTTGTACTAATTAAGCTAACCATATGTTATTGCCTCCATTATTAAAATATAGTTTACCTAAGAGTGTACCAATTGCTTGGCCACATAGAACAAAAGTTGAATAAATAGCTATTTGGATCCACCATTTGTATTGTACAAAGTTGGGTAATTCTTTTGACTTATTTTGATGATTCTCATAGTGTTCTTCCTTTTGAGATTTATCACCTGTTGCAGTAAACATTCTAATTAAAAACATGAAAATAGGAGATTTTTATGCATGTTAAATATGAAGAAATTAATGAATCATTTGAGGTACAAAATAGAATGGAGAAATCTTGTTTTGGTGGCATCCCGCTTTAGCAGGGTAGGGGAAGGGTCATATCTCAAGGGGTGTTACGTGGACAACCAAATGCTTTCACGACTCAAATTTGTGACTTATAGGTCATACGAAGACAACTTTATCGTTGCTCCAAGACTCTCTTCATGGCATGATAATATGCAATTATGTACTACTAATGCTTTACTGACACTAATTTTTTAAACTAGTTCATAATGATGAATCCTTACAATATATAAATGTATCTGCCAGTAGAAAATTTATAAAGCTTCTAATACTTTTCATTTTTTATTTTACATGATAATGAACTGAGACAAATAGATCAAAACTTATGACAAAGGTCAATATGACCCTTTTCTAAGAGTACAAGGACAAATATAACCTTTTTCATATTTTTAAACATAATCAAAAGGAAAAAATGCCATACAACAGAGAAAACAAGAGTTCACCTGGAACATGGGATTGCAGTTCTGATGCATCAACCATTTTCAAGAATTTCCAAAATTAAGATGTAATAAAGAAGAAGAAAAGAGAAAGAAAAATGTAAAGCCTCTTTGATTTTTCATGTATATATATATATATATATATATATGACTGACTTTCAAGACTGCTATTCGTTTTGAAGCTCGATTAAGTCAGATTCATGCTGAAAAGTCTCACTTTGGAATATTAAGCACTTCTTAGTAAAGATGACTCCGTCCACATAGCTCAAAACTGAAATATCTAATTAAGAATGGAATAATATTTATCCTTTCTTTACTACGTTTGATGGTTATATTTATATTACAATAAAATGGGGTTGTCAAATAGAAGAACAAAATAATTATTTATTTATCTTTGGACAGCCAATTCCTGGATTACATAGAACTAACTATGTTGCCAATATTTTGTAATTCCCTAGGTTTGTGTTCCTTTAAGCAATATATATGTCTACTATATTTTGTCATATAAATACTATACTATACTTATAATATACATATTACATTCATAGTTTTACCCCTTTTGATTGTTTTATTTCTCATAAAACTAACTAGGTGAAACAAAACTAACTACGTGAAACATAAAATATAACATAGGGATCATTACACAAATAGTTGTATGTGTGAGCTTATTCATATTATTGGCTTCAACTCATAGCGACATTAAACAACTTTATAAAATAAAACTACCTTAAAGGGACTCCGGGACATTTTGAGAAGTAAAGAAAAATATTGATTTATTGTAAGTCGCAAAGTAATCTTGTTGTCACGATCCACTTGGATTTAACCTCATTCAACATTTGTATCCAACTTATAAGAACTAGTACTCAACAATATATCAAATAATGCCATGTACTTATCCAGTACCAAATTGAAAGGCCCAATAAGAACTTTTTATTTCAATTTGAATATATACATAATTGATCACATTTATATGTATTGTAGAAGAGCGGATTTACTCAGGGCACACCAAAAGAGTAGCAGCTGCGAGTTTCTCCGGGGTTCAACTAGAGGAAACTTCTTTAGAGTTTTGTTCTATTAACTCTTCCTTGGCCTCCATATGATTGAGATATTGTTGATAAATTTGTGAACCAAATCCCCAAAAGGCTAAAAACATAATCACCAACTTTAAACCTTTAATCTTATCATGAAGAAAAATCACAGAAAAAATTGGAGTAATTGGAGCCCCTAAATTGTTAAAAACATTGGACATTAGGGGGTTGACTTTAAAAACTAGCCCAATTGAAGCCACAACTTTTAATTGACATGAAATGGCTATAAAAAACAAGATGACTACATAAGATAATTTCCCTAATTGGTATTTTTCCATCTCCATGATTAAATTCTTCCAATCTCCACTTATAAAAAAACCTAGTAGGATCACTATGCTTGCAACTAGGGTTTGGTAAATTGACATCTCTATAATATCTATGAACTTCCTACCCTTTATTATTTTTCGATACGAAAATTCAGTTAGAGAAAGCACTAAGGAATATGTCACAGACCCACCAATCGTAGAAAAAAACCCTAGCAAAAACTTTCCACTAGACATTTCCCCGGACTCATTATTATGAACCACCAGAATGACTGAGGCAGCTATTACAAGAACTATAGAGTTTACTATAGCTGGGGTGAACTTATGTGCACTGTGGAATAAAGAGAAGATAATAGTGAACCCTAGTCGAGTGGTACTAGTGAGAGAGTACGTTGAGACTTGAAGGTACTTTAGACCGACCGAGTTGAAAACACTAACCCCACCAAGTAACACACCTAGAACAACATAAACTAAAAAGATTATGCAAATATGGGGTTCTTGATTTCCTTCAATTACCTCAATTTGGCTATTATTTTTGAGTGAGACATAGTATAGGAAAGGAAGAAGAATTGGGAACCCTGCATTTTGCACTAATGAGACTAACCATATACTTTTACCACCTTTGGTAAAATATGTTTTAACCAATAGTGTTGTTACTACTTCTCCAATTAGAGTAAAAAGGGTAAAAATGGCAACTTGGTACCACCATTTATGCTTAGCAAAGTAGGAACAAGAATGAGTTGATCCACTTGATTCAATGTTGGAATTTTCATCCTCACATATTTCTTCATCTATCAAAAAGATAAAAAGTAAAATGAATAAATAAGATAATGTTTAATAAATAACGCATAGTTGTCTAAAAAGACGAGTTTAAGTTATATATTCCGTCAGTTTATGGAACACCTAATATTGTAAAAATTCGTTACAATGACATTTATATAACTCATATGATGAAAATAATTCTAACTAAACCAATGAGATGATAGTCGCAAATTAAAGCAAAAGTGTTTTGTTTACTAGTATTGAAACTTACTTTAAGGACTAGAAAAGCTTACAACACAAGTAATAGCGTGAAGTGCACTAATAAAGTAAGCTTTTGAAAAGTTACAATACAAGTAATAGAGTAAAACGTAACGGGGCAGAAGTGACTTGAGGATTTAACTTATATATATTGATTCATATAGTGTAAGATCATGTTAATTATTAGAAATATTACATGTAACTAAAAGAACCCCCAACTTAAACATGCTTTAGTTTTTCTAAAACAAGCTTAATTTTTAACAAAATGACATTTATTCCCAAATAAAACATCACATTAAAAGCTACTTCAAAATAATTTAAGAATTGGTTTGTGGAAAGCTTTTGGAGAATGTGTTTTCTTCATTTTATTGTTTGGATTAAACAAATCAGCACACTACACCTACTCCACTATAATTTGCTTTTCATTCTTGTCTCCTTTACTTTATAATTTTATATATAAAATCAAGGATCTATGGTAAATAATTTTTTGCTTCATAAAGATAAGGATGATAAATATATATTATACTAAGTAATTTGAAAAAAGTAAAGTTTATGTGTATCTTAGTTTTTACTACTATATTGAGAAATAGAATTAATAACTATTTCCAAAAGATTCTAACTTATTATTTTCCGTCTATATATAATGAATTATCATTGCCTTTTTTTTACCCTACAATTATTGACTCTTTTTTGGCTACTTTCTCAAAATGTGGCTCTACCATATATACAGCCAAGGTCACAATTTTAATCGTTACCTAAGATGTCATTTCAGGAAAAAGCTTATAATATAAATATATAATATGACAAAAGAAGAAAAGATATTTGGAAGCAAATAAAAGCACACCAATTATCACCTGACATCTACAAAGAATAGATATATTTTTTTAATAACTGTCTGCTATTCGATCAAGGGATGATGTATCAGTTACGAGTTCAATTGAATCCATAATTTTTGAGTTAAATTATTAAATTATAGTAATAAATAATGTACGTGAATTTATAATTTAGAAAATATAACGTATTTAATGAATCTTAAAAGTTAAATTCATAAAACTTAAATTTTGAATTCATTTTTGTGTATAATAAATACTGACCTGATCAATTTAAATTTACACCACATGAGATTCAATAAAAAGGAGTGTTGTATAACGTGAAATTCTCGTTATTTGTTCTGTTTTGAAATAATAATTATTTAGTAAATGAAACCCCCCACCCCTTCCCTCCTTCTGTTTTTCTCTTTGCAATTTATGAATCTTTAGACTACGGTTCAAAAATCGCTTCTGAGCAAATTAATAATCTTGTGAGAAAATATTAGTTCATAGTCTAAAAGGCATAATCCAAAAAAATATATTTGGAGAACTTTAGAAATAGGAATAAAACACAAATAGTGGCCTAAAAAGAAATATTTGCATAAATCAATTTTCCCTATCACAATTATTTTATTCATTCTCGAGGGTCAAATTTGAGACTTCTAATTAAAGTGTTAAACTCTTGTTTTACTCTGTTTCAAAAAGTATAATAGTTTAAATAATTATTTTTTTTAATTTATCATTAATGATATGTTCTACTAGCCATACAGATATCAACAAATGTTTGAGAATTAAAAATTTAAACAACTTTCTATAGAACAATAAATTCTATAATTAAGCACGTTGTCATATAAAGTCAAGAATAGAAGAAATATTTTATTTTATTTTTAATTTTGAAAAACAACCAACCAAAGAGGATTAATTGTCAAATCATTTTTATAAAAGAAAAAAATATAAAATTAAGAAAAAAAATTTAAGCTCGAGTGTAATAAACTCAACTTTTATAATTGACATTTGAACCTCTCACAACCACGGGCAGATGCAATTTTAAAACGGAAAAGGAATCAAATATATTATCGAACTTGAAGAAAAGACTTATCTATGTCATCAGTTAAAAAGTTTAGCTCGTCTATGTCATTTTTGTTTGAGAAAAGGCTCGTTCATGCATTTATTAGTTGAAATGACATAGATAAGCCAAATTTTTAACGGATGAGCCTTTTCCCTTTTAAAAAATGATTTAATTAATAATGTGGCCGAATCATAATTGACCACATGTAAAATATGGTTTTATGAAATGCAACTATTTTCAATTAAGAAATAATGTATATGAGTCAAACTTTTAATGAATGACATAGATGAGTTTTTTCTGAAAGTTCGATGACATATTTGAATCTTTTCCCTTTTAAAAATACAATAAGTTTTACGCTAAAAATCTTGAATCTGCCTTTATTCACACCTACTCCCCCTTACTCTTGCTCCCATCCCATCCCTATCCCTACCCCTACCCCTACCCCCTTCCTTCCTATTTCGAGTATTTATCTAGATTATGTATAAATATTTTTGAAACAATATTTTCTACTCATATTTACTTATCAAACATATAAAAATACGTTAAAAAAAAATCTCTTTTTTTAAAGAAAAAACATTCTCCTCGAAAAAAAATTCAGTCATCCCAAACACACCCTTAACTTAATGGCAAACTCTACCATATCTGCAGTTGAAATATCAGAAGAAAATTCCTCTCTAACAAGCAAACCTCCACACCATTATTTAGATCCAATGAATAAAACCATCTTATTTTTTTCCATTCTGGTGTTCAATACTCGTATTAAAGTCTAATTGATTTAAATTCAAACCATATACGGTTTTTTTATAGGGAAAATACTCACCAACAAGTTTTTTTTTCATAACTAGTACTTGAACCTGAAAACTTTAATTGAATTAAAGATGAACGGATCTCAAGCACTCCCTAATAATAAACTATTTTTTCATAACAAGGAATATAACCTGAGGCCTCTAATTAAAGGTGGAAGAAGCTCAAGAGCTTCCAAGCAGAATTTTTTTACATAATCAAGACACGAATTGGAAACATCTAATTAAAGGTGAAGGAACCTCAAGTGATCCGTAACATTTTTTTTTACATAATCAGGACTCGTATCAGAGACATCTCATTAACGACGGAGAAACCTCAAACGATCCTAGCATAAATAATATTCATTACGAAGGCTCGAATCTCAAATTCGAGAACTCTAATTAAAGATGAAGAAAAAGAGAAATTAAAGTTTCAAAATGAGGAGAAAATAAATAAAGAAAAATTGAGAATAGATAGATACTAACTTGGGATATCTAAGAGCTTTTGTTGAACTTCTTCCATAGAGTTATCTTCTTGTGTTTTTTTGGCTGGAAATTTTGTGAAATAGATTTTGTTTTTCCCAAAATTGGGAAAGAAACATATAATATGTTGATATGTAGAGTGAGAAGAATGAGTGAAAAAGACTTTAGAGTATGTTGATATAATAAATTATAAGTTGCCTTACACTGCACTTATAACCTTTTTTTTTTTAAATAGTCTGATACACAAAGCATTTCATATTAATGTAGATTTAAGAATATAAATAGTTTATTTTAATACAAATATTGTCAATTGTTTTCACGATTCATAGTTCAAATTCATGAACTATAGGTCACAAAAAAATAATATTATGGTTGCTTCAAGCCTCTCATTCACTTATAATAAGCTACTCCATCTGTTTCAATTTAATTTATTTGTTTTACTGTTTTTTTAGTTTGCTAAAAAAGAATATCTATATGCTTTTTTAGTTTGCTAAAAAAGAATATCTATATGCTTTTTTAGTTTGCTAAAAAAGAATATCTATATGCTTTTTTAGTTTGCTAAAAAAGAATATCTATATGCTTTTTTAGTTTGCTAAAAAAGAATATCTATATGCTTTTTTAGTTTGCTAAAAAAGAATATCTATATGCTTTTTTAGTTTGCTAAAAAAGAATATCTATATGCTTTTTTAGTTTGCTAAAAAAGAATATCTATATGCTTTTTTAGTAATTCTTTAATTTCAATTTTCATGTACAAAAAAATTATTTACTTTTTAAAATTTTATATCAAGTTAGAATCAGACAAATAAATTAAAACGAAAGAAAGTATTGTTCTTATATAATAAAATGAAGATAAGTTTTTTGAAATTTGTGGGATCGAAAATATATTTTTAAGACTTTATTTTCAACTCTCAAATTTAAACTTCTCTAATTAAAAAAAATAAGAATAAAAAAATTTATCATTTCATCACAGCGCTAACTGGATATATATTATATTAATAAATGTCAAATTTTCTTAAACAGAGACAATACGAATTAATTAAATTCAACTTGCAGTAGGGGCCTTCATTGATTTATTTATTTTTCACTTTATTTATAGCAAAAGATTAAAGATAAAAGAGAAAATTTTGTCGGTGTGATGGAAATAATATTTTGGAATTTTTTTTTATGAAATTATTTTCTGGTGTTTTATTGGTGTGAAAAACATACTTTTCTTAAAAATGTGTGCATGCAATGCATGCATTAAACCTCTCTATAATGTGATCTTTCATGGTAACATTTGACCATAATGACAAATTTTCTTTGAAATCAAATTTTTTATATTATGTTATATTATATATTTTCTGTAACAATATTTTTTTATAATGCCTAAAAACTAAAATGAATCAGGATAAATGAAGATGTTATAACAAAGTTTGACGGTATATAAAAGGGATAAGGGTCTGAAAAATATCCTAACTTTGGTCAGATTTGCTGTTGCGATACTAAACTTTCATAAGGACCTATTACCTCCCTAGACTATTTAATACCGTATTTTAAACATATATATTTGCCCA